TCTCAGTTCACGGTGGAGGTGGACGCTTCAGACACTGGGGTTGGGCCAGTGCTCTCTCAGGTATCCCCGGTCGACCACAAGCTTCATCCCTGCGCCTTCTTCTCACGGCGTCTTACGTCAGCTGAGAGCAGGTATGATGTTGGGGACAGGGAGTTACTGGCTGTGAAGCTGGCTCTGGAGGAGTGGAGGCACTGGCTGGAGGGGGCTGAACATCCATTTGTCATATGGACGGATCATAAGAACTTGATTTATCTCAAGGAAGCGAAGAGACTAAATCCCCAACAGTATCGGTGGTCCTTGTTTTTTACCCGTTTTAACTTTGTTCTGTCCTATCGGCCAGGGTCGAAGAACACTAAGCCTGATGCCCTGTCCCGACAGTACGCTTCCGAGGATGAGGCGACACCAGGCACCATCTTGCCTTCCTCCTGCATCCTTGCAGGAGTGACCTGGACTATTAGGGATCAGGTGCTGGAAGCCATCAAGGTGGACCCCGGTCCAGGTAATGGACCAACAAATAAGTTGTTTGTTCCACAGGAGCTGCGAGGGAAGGTGATCCACTGGGCATACACCGGGAGGTTTTCTATCCATCCCGGAGTGGGTCGGACCCTAGCCCTGATTCGGCGCTCGTTCTGGTGGCCATCCATCTTCAATGACGTGAGGGAGTACATGTCAGCCTGCCATGTTTGTGCATGACAAAAAGGTACCAACCAATTACCCGTTGGGCTACTCAGTCCCTTGCCCGTACCTTCTCGCCCGTGGTCACATATTGCTATTGACTTTGTTTGTGGGTTACCCCCCTCACAAGGATTTAACACCATCCTCACAATAGTGGACAGGTTTTCTAAAGCCTGCCACCTAGTGCCATTAAAGGCGCTTCCCACCTCCACAGTCACAGCCCAGCTCCTGATCAAGCATGTTTTCCACCTCCATGGGATACCGACCGAGATTCTCTCAGACCGTGGCCCCCAGTTCGTATCCCGGGTGTGGAGGGAGTTTGCCACCGCTTTAGGGGCCCGGGTAGCTTTAACTTCTGGCTTTCATCCCCAGACCAACGGCCAGTGCGAGAGAATGAATCAGGAGCTGGGCGCCATGCTACGCTGCATCTGTTCTACCAACCAGTCTTCCTGGAGTGACCAACTGGCTTGGGTCGAATACGCCCACAATAGCCACATCTCCTCCGCCACAGGTCAGTCCCCGTTTGAGTCCTCTCTTGGATATCAGCCGTCTCTGTTTCCACTCCAGACAGACTCCATCAGCACCACTCCCCAGTTTCTTCGCCGGGCTCGTCGTGCAAGGGGGGCTACTAGGTCAGGCTTCAAAGTACCGCGGAAAGGAATCAGCAGTTGGCTGATCGTCACCGTCGCCCAGCACCCACCTACGTCCCCGGACAGATGGTTTAGCTTTCCTCGAGAGATGTGCCCTTGAAAGCCACGTCTAGAAAGCTTGCCCCAAGGTACCTGGGTCCTTTTAAGGTGATTGCCTTCCCGAGCCCACTGACCATACGCCTGGACCTTCCACCGTCTCTCCGGATCCACCCAGTTTTCCATGTCTCCCTGGTCATGCCTGTGGTCTCCAGTCCCCTGTGCCCGGCTCCGGCTCCTCCTCCTCCTGCTCAGTTCTACAAGGGGGGGGGGGGTTTGGTTTACAAGGTTCGGCACATCCTTGACTCCCGTCCCCGTGGTCGTGGGGTTCAGTACTTGGTCGACTGGGACGGTTATGGCTCAGAGGAACGGTCCTGGATTCCCCGTTCCTACATTGAGGATCCCTCTCTCATAGCCGACTTTGAGGCATCAAAGACCGCTGCTGGGACGACGGAGGCGTCCGTTGAGGGAGGGGCACTGTGATGTTCCTGAGCCGAGGTGAGTGACATCACCCCCATCTCACTCTCACTGATTTTCCACAGGTGACAGCGGAGGGGGCCGCAGCTGCAGAAAATCTCCAATCTGGGACGCTGGTATAAAAGGAGGATGGTGACACCTCATTACGCCGGATGATTGCTCCTGTATAGGTAGTCCCAGCCACTCGTTCTTGTTTTGTGAACTCGTCACTCGAATATAGGATATTTTGGATTATTGAACTTGGACCGCTCTGATTACTCTTTGGATTACCCTGAAATCTGGATGTTGTTTGTTCTCTCCAGAATCCCATTCAACCTGCCTCAACTTGTTGTTTTACTGACTGGACATTCACACCATGTCCCATCCTCCTCCGCTGTGCCTGGTTGGATCCCTTCCGCTGTCTAACCTGTTTCCTGATCACCCCTGGACTGACTTGAGCTCACCTCGGCTTCCTCACCTCGTTCTCCCCGAACGTTTATGGACTCGAGCTACTGCTCACCCTCTCCACAGGACTTCCCTGTGCACCTTTTGTTCCAGTTAATAAATAAAGACTTTAATTTCATCCTACCTGCTCGTCGAGTCAGATTACTGCATGTCTTGGGTTAAACACATTCCACGAGACATGACATCTTCTTTTTAATACTAAAACAGATCAGAGGATACAGGCAGTGTGTGTTTGTGTGCGTGTGTGTGTGTGTGCATGCGTGAGTGCGTGTGTGTGTGTGTGTGTGTGTGTGCATGTGCGTGTGTATGTGTGTGTGTGGACTGGTTTGACAGCCACTGGTGATGATGTGGGGGTGCGATTTGACGGACGAATGACCTGACCAGCACCCTATGAGGACATTTTACTTCTTATACAAGTAGCTGTCTCAGTTTGAATATCTGACTCATCACCTTCAAGAATCAGAAGTCAGTTTGCCTTCAAAGATTCTCAGTCTGCATCCTGCTGGCCCAGAATCTGGTTCTGTCAGCAGAGGGCAGCAGCACTTCCGCTGACTTCTTGTTGCTTTAACTCAGCCAGTGCTCAGTGTTTTTTCTTTGCCTGGAGCAGACTGCATAATGTCTCATCCAGAGCTGTAATTAGCTTCAGTGAGCCCTGTGCTCACTGCTGACGATGGTGATATGAAGGTGAAGATGAGCTCATCAGGACAGGCCTCAGGCCCATGTCTCTCTATGGCACGATATGGGTTAGACAGCAGTCAAATTTCACTGCTTTTTCTATTACTCATTGCATGGCAAACCCCCTGCACACAGTTATGAGCATATGCCAGCTGCAGGTCTGAGTGACATGAGCAAAAGCGAGCAGTCAGGTTCAGCCATGTTGTTTGGTTTTATGGTGGCTGTTCCAGATGTACAGCTGATTCAGCTCCAGGTCTCCCCATACAGAGTGAGTAACAACAGGACTGCACTGAAAGCACATACAGACTACACACAGACATGTTCATTATTTACTAGATCCTCTCTGACTCCTCTGTCTGCATGGCTGCTCACTCTGCAGTCGGCCTTCTTTTACAAACCCAAAGTTTTTGCTCAAAGGCTCGGGAAGCCCCATTCATCCTGATTTGTGTTGTGCATCTGCTGTTGGACAGTGTCTTTTGTGTCTGCAGCATTAACACTCTCAAAGAACAAGGTGTTACCGTCTAACTCCATCAGTGCCTGTTTTATGTCACCACAGACACACACGCACACAGACGACGTGCAGCACGAAGACTGTGCCGTTTTTCACATCTCGGTGTTGACCCAGGAGGACGAGGTGTAGCCGCAGACAGGCTCGTCCATTTGTTGGAACCACACTTACATTCTGACACCTGCCTCGCAGCAGCCCCTCATCCATCAGGTCTGTTCTCTGTTGTGCTCCTGTGCAGCAGCTGTTTGAAAGGAGACTTTTCCATTTCACACAGCTTGAGGGTAGCTTTTCTTTTGAATTTACATGCTGCAGCCACTATCCTGCACCACCCCTCACAGGAGCAATCATTACACAGGTTTCTGTTGAAGCATGGCCACAGCACCCTGGCTGTTGATATTCTGAAGGTCCTCACACTTTGAATCAGCTGATGAGATTGAGAATAGCCAACAATAAAGAACGCTGCTTCAGAACATGAGAGCTTTGATTAATTGGCTTATAAAAACATCTGAACCAACTGTTTTGTGGTTTGCGCTTTGATTTGAGTCAACTTTCATCTTGACATCAGAATAATAAGGCCCTTATTTGTGTAATTATCTAAGGTTATACAGATATTATTGACATTATAACTCATTAAGAACTCCAGTGATGCTGTCAGAAATAATCAGAATTGGTTGATATTATACTCGTGTATAAAACGGATGCTTCTGCACGTAAAATTCTTCTAATTGTGACCTAGCTTCATAGAAATCTGACCACAGATGTGTGGGTGTATGTGTGGACAAATATTTGGAAATAAATAAGTAGGTTTAATGTTTATATATGTTGTTTTAAGGATTTTCCATGTAAACTGACACGGACAGTTTATTAAATTCCAGGTATTCTGCTGGTTGGTTAATGACCTGTAGGTAATGTCCCTTAGTCACAAAATCTTCCTGGAGTCATTGGTAACAGGCCTTAAATGCCATTTTGTGTTAGTTTTGAAGTTCATAATCTAAATGTTTCCACTTGATGCAAGAAAAATCAAATTTCACTTTAGAGAAACAGGAGCAAAAGATGTTGCAGGAAAGTTAGTTAGTTGGGTAGGAATTTGCATGTATTTTTGCATAGAAACAAGGGACTGATTTAATCTAATCTATTTTAAATCCACTTTTATTTCTTACAACCCATCTCTAGCAAAGAAAATCCAACAAGCCAATGCTATTAAAAATCAGATGCATTAATACTTTTCACATGCACCAACTCAAAGCTTTGTTTGGTGTCACGCTTCACGGTGCATTTCAACCAGTTCCCTGCAAGAATGTCACATTTTCTCAACAAGGTTCAGGTGTCAGACATGTATATAACCTCCATATTCTGTGTTTGTGTCAGCTTCGTTTAGCAGTAAGGTTTGCCCATGATCTGAAAAATTCTCACTACTGTTTTGACTTGATGTAGATTGTTCAACAGCCTGCAGGCGGCTTGTCCGAACAAATGTAAACATGAGCTGTCTTCTGCAGGCTCCTCCCCTTGGCTTTTATAAAACCCTACCTCCCCTCAGCCGGTCTCAGACCAAAGTTTAGACAGTTTGTGAGGGCAGATGCAGAGAGCTGCCCCTGTAGGGAACAAGAGACGGGAGAAATGTGTATTTATGTATTTATTTATTTAGTTTAGGGTTCTATCATCCAAAGAAACTTTCATCACTATTTTTTTCTTGGTGGATTACTTGGAGCTGACTCATCCAGGATTAAAAGGACTCTGTGTTTTTACCTAAAGCTATGGTGGCTTACGATGATCTGGGTAGCTTGGTGCCTATCAAACGGACTTTACAAGTGATAGACTGCCAGAACCAAGCCAACAAGGAATCAGAGGTGAGATAGAAAGCTGCAGTCTGAGCTGATCCTACTGTAAATGTTCGACTCTGACAGGTGAAGTCATCTGTTTGTGTATGAGTGTGTTGAATTGTGAGTGAATCAGTGCCTAACCCTGGTTTTATCACACAAGTGTGTGTGATGGGACTTTAACCTTTGGGTCTGGCGACTTATGGACATCTTTAAGTTTCTGTCTAACCTGATAAACACGACTATTTAAATAAAGTTGCGTGTTGCATGTTGCATCTGACATAGGTTATTCCCCGGAGGAGGCAAAGAAATCAAGACAGTCAGCACAAACAATGATCTGCAAGGTGTTTTTCCCCGTTTCCAAAAAATAGAAAACATGGCTGTTAACTTTATTCATGTGAAAGTGAGCCATGTTATCTCTGCCACAGATCTGCCACAGCAACCGGGTGTTGCTCCCCGACCTTTACGGAAACAGACAGCTGTTGAAACCAAGGTGTGCTGTTTGTGCCCCCCAGCCCTTTTGAGGCTTCTCTCTGTAGACCACACATGGTTTCACTGAGCGGCTTTAGAAGGGGAAGGTCATAAACAAGTCCTTTTCTAACAGAACTGCTGAATTTTGAACAGTTTAGATTCACATCCAAGCCTGATTTAATGGTGGCTTTTGTTTATGTTCAATAAGCTCAGACCATGTTGCAATGACAGACACACATCTGGGGGGTTTACAGGGATACTTCAAAGGGAAAGTGTCTTTTTCTTTTAACCATCCATCCAAAACCACAAACAGTGGCTTCCTGAATCCAGCCCAAAACTTAAAACTCTGCAGAGTTGGACTAACGGGAATAGCAGCTTTCTCTGCCTGTGGGCACTATTTCACAGAGAACACAACTACTGACCCTTTGTTGTTCTGGGGCCAGGACAGGAAGGGCATTATGCTCAACACGCTCTCCCATTGTTGACTTTCAAAAGCCTCCATCTTTCTATTAATGATGTGTTTCACTAATTCCCTTTATCTATTTTTTTTCTTTTTTGAATTTCTTTCCTGAATATAAAAAGTTAATTTAAAGGCATTGAGGTCTGATTCTCAAAAGCCTGCAGACCACAGCTCTATTGTTGACACATGGCGTCTCTTTGGTGTCCCTTGTGGATAGAGGACTTGCTAAGTTCCCAGGGGTGTTTGTGGAGACCCTGACCACAGCAAACTGCGCATCGACCACAGCCGCAGCAGCTCTCAGGCCTCACCAGACAGAGCAGATCTGTTCTACAGCTGCGTCTGCGGTGCCTGCAGCTTCAATGGCGGCAAAATTCCCACATTCACTGAGCCAAGGCTGAATCCCTCTTAGCCTGAGTCAGGAAAATAAAAAGCAAGTGGCTTGTGGCAGCACTGTGCTTAGTCAAAATTATGACATAACAATTAAAATATATGCAGAAGTAGACATGTTGTACTGACGTGTTGTTGAAACAAGGCCTGGCTTGTGCATTGTGCTGCGTTTTTGAACATACTGAGGTAAATGAACTCCTAGATGTTCATCATTAACTCTTCTGAGGCCTGTTGTTGTTGGAAAGAACCCAAGCAGCTTTTCTCCACTCAGCCTCGAGGTGGGGTAAGGAGTGGGTGGAGGGGTTACCTGACCCAGGTGTAGTGTCTCTCTCACGCGAGGCTGGATTGGGAGCTTGTCTGAACTCGTAGCCAGCATACACCCCCCTGCAATGTTGCACCGTGCAAACGCTTTAGGGCAGTAGGTCGACTGTGTTTGCAACTTCTGTTGGTTTCCCTGACCCAAAGCAGCAGTGTGATTGCTCTATACCACCACACTATCCTGGACTGCTCCATCAGAGAGCAGCACTTTATTGCAATCGGAAAGCTTTTATCGCACTTTGAGTGTCGGAGCAAACCCGTGTTGGACTGGAAATGTGTCTGTTGTCAGTGCACAGGGAGAGGCATCGAACAGCTGAGAAGCACAGTCCCATACATGTTTGGCATTCCTCCAAACCCCCCTTCCATAACAGACCACCAGTCAGAAGGGTCTTTGTGCTCAGTGGGCTGGCCCGGCGCTAGACGCCTGACATGATAGAGTCAAACAGCTGTTGAAGCTTCCTCCTACGTATCTGACACCACTTGCCCGTCTGTCTGCAGTTCCTCTCCGGCTCCAGCTATTCCTCTTGCCTCGACCTCAGATCAGGATTTATGACTTGACCCGATGCATTTTGTCACCAGTAAGTCAAAAGGGAGAGCTTGGACTTACTTTTAAAGTCTTACGTCACTGACTGATTCACTGTAACCCATTGCAAAAAGTTCAGCCGTGTATTTTATGTAAGTTATGTGAAAAGACTAACTTTTGCTTTTGTTTTTCTTCTGCTTTTACCAGGAACCCAGCAACAAGCGTGTCCGTTCTCTCGGCAGGGTGACGTCTCTAGCCAACCTCATCTCTCCGAAGCATGGGGCCGTCCGGCGCTTCGGCCAATCCATCCAAGTAAGCTTTCAGTGAATAAAGACAGCTTCTCTGGTTGAGAGGTGTCTACCGACATGGCTGACATATGTTGCTCCTCCCTTTGATTGCGCATAGGCCTCTTTCAGAGGTGATGGCAAGTTGCCGGGCGTGCCCCAGAAGCCTTGTGGCAAGGCGGCAGTCCCCACACCGCCTAAAAGGAGGAACAGCACCCTGTGGTCGGAGACAATAGACGTCAACCAGAAGGGAACTTTCTCCATCAAAGAGATCAAGAGACAGGAGGTGAGACTCAACACATTAAGACAGTAAAGTACAGTGGAAGGAAAAAACGACAGCTAAAAATTCCAGACAGGAAAGAATTCCACCTATCCACCGGACTAGTATCAGAAGGGATTGTCTCAAATGTTTTGTTTTAGTAGAGCAGCTTTTCCTGGACCCGTTTCCTTCTCTGTAAACTCACATAAAAATGACAAGCCAATGAACCCCTGCCCAACACTCCCCACTAGTTTTTCACGTGTCAGGCATCATAGCCAGCTGTCTACAGGCGAGGGCAGCCAGCCAAAGTTAACCTGAGCCATTCGCTTTCACTGCAGTGTTGGATTTAGTCTGACTATTAATTGCAAAAATTGAATGATAATCATGACCTTTGTGTCTATCTAAAAAAAAACCTCTGTTTTGATTTCTTCAGGCCATATTTGAGCTGTCTCGTGGTGAGCAGGACCTGATCGACGACCTGAAGCTTGCACGCAAGGTTTGTGCTTTTAAAACTCTTAAGGAGGACTTCTTAAAGCAAACAGATTAAATCAAATTCTGGCAGACCATCCATGCAGCCAAGTCAAGAGCTATAAAAAGACAGGAATTGTACCTCTGCCTTTTTCTTTTACCCCTGAAGCTATTCTTAGCAGCTGCCCCTGTTTGAATGTTTAAACTGAACTCTTCTGGTTTCGCTCTCCTCCACAGGCGTATCACGACCCTATGCTGACGCTCTCCATCATGTCTGAGGAGGAGCTAACGCACATCTTTGGTAACCTGGATGCCTACATTCCTCTGCATGAAGACCTGCTGGTTCAGCTTTCCAAAGTAACAGATCCGGATGGGACAGTGGGAGAAATTGGACAGATCTTTGCAAACTGGGTAGGTGTCCCCTAACAGTTTTAAAACTAATGGGATTTTCATTTTTTAAATGCTGTGTTTTGGGATTGAGAATGCCATTAAAGCAACCTTGCTTCTTCTGCAGCTGCCAAGGCTCAATGCCTACAAGGACTACTGCAGCAACCAGCTGGCAGCCAAAGCCCTGCTGGACCAGAAGAAACAGGACCGACGGGTGCAGGATTTCCTGCAGCGCTGCATCGAGTCCCCTTTCAGCCGGAAGCTGGACCTGTGGAGCTTCTTGGACATCCCACGCTCTCGCCTGGTCAGATACCCACTGCTGCTCAAACAGATCCTGAAGCACACTCCACCAGAGCACCCTGATGCTGCCAGCCTTGAAGAAGCAGTGAGTACACCTCAGAGATCCAAACCAGTTCATCTCAGCAACCAGCACTGCCTGATGTTTTAACAAACACAACCCCTGTGTGTTTAGATTACCATCATTCAGGGTGTTCTGTCTGACATTGATATAAAGAAGGGAGAGTCGGAGTGCCAGTACTACATCAAGAAGCTGGAGTATCTTGACGACAGGCAGAAGGACCCTCGCTTTGAACAGTGCAAGAGCCTTCTGTGTCACGGGGAGCTACGAAACAAGAGCGGCACGGTGAGCTACACATCCCAGGTCAACACAGCATTCACTTGCAGACAAGTTTGATTTGTATGAATTTCAAGAAAGCCAAATTTTTTATTTGAAAAGTCTGATTTGAATGATTTTCTTAAATGATTTCTTGTAGAAGCTGCATGTGTTCTTGTTCACCGAACTTCTGGTCCTGACCCGCCCAGTTACTAGAAATGAGCGCCAGTGCTTCCAAGTCTACAGACATCCGATCCCAGTTCAGGATCTGGTGTTGGAGGACCTGCAGGATGGAGACGTTCGAATGGGTGGCTCCTTCAGAGGCGCCTTCAGCAATGCAGAAAAAGGTAAGGCTGGTGGCACAAATGCTTCCAGGAGTTAGTGGCCATCAATAGTTTGTCCTCTAATTCCAGCTTCTTTCTTTTTCTGCAGCAAAGAACATATTCCGCGTGCGTTCCCAGGACCCAACCCAGGCGCAGTCCCACACGCTGCAGGTCAACGACGTCTTCCACAAGCAGCAGTGGCTCAACTGTCTCCGCAGCGCCATCTCCGTCCACCGGCCTGTAAGCGAGCCTTCCACCCCAAGCCCATCAATGCGTGACGCCTGCTCCAAGCGCCGCCCATCCTCCGCCTCTGCCATCATCCACGCGGAGGAACCAGATGAAAACTGCTCACAGCGCGTCTCTCAGTCAGCTCCCAGCTCGCCATGCAACAATTCTATACCCAGCCCCACCACACCATCATCTCCATCATCATCATCATCATCCTCATCCTCATCCTCGTTATCGCCACTTTTTTCTCTAACATCACACAAAACAAAAAAAGACAAAAAGTCTCTGTGTTCCTTAGGGAAGAGGAAAGAGACAATGGTGTGAAGTGAGAGGGAGGAAACGGACTTCTGAGCGGACACTTTTTTGCTTTTTGTACATAAAACAGTGAAACGAGGGGTTTGTATTTATGTGTGTCTGTGTTATTACCGCAGTGTTCTGTGTTACTGTCCTCTTCGGCAGCTATCTACAAGTTCATCCATCAGAGACGGTATTCTGGAGCATGCGCGACTCCCACCGGCTCTAAAAGGGAGGCACAGCGAGGAAAAACAACCCCAAGAATCTGTCTCAAGATTGATGATTTCTTGAAGGAGGAGGTGGCGATCAAACTTTGTTTACTATTAATTTGATATTTAAGCATTATTTTAGACCTGTTCTGGGAGGCAAATGAAAGTTTTACATTTTTATACTTTTTTTTAAAATAGTTTTTCTTTTGTTATTAAGCAGCACTGTTCTAGCCTTAGGAACATGTTTTCCTTTCTTTGTTGTTGAGGGTGTTCAGGTGAGGAAACAAAAGAAGTGAATCCCACCAAAGGATGAGAAGTACAACATGAAACTATAAATTAAACAGATGACGTGTCTTATTTTGATGCATTCCTTAATTACACCGATTTTGAATCCTGGACACTGTTGGATTCACCTACAGAGGCATTACTTTGAATCCAGAACGGATGAGATTTCTGTTTCTCACTGAGAAGAGCAACAATTTGGAATCATACCAGAGATGATAAGTTTTGTTTTGAAACAAAATTTTGAACTGAGCCATGTTGGCTTTTTTAAGCTGACTTTTCTGAATGAAATGGATCATTTTTCTGTGTAGCATCTTGCATGAAGCTTTAGTTGTAAACACTGCTTGAACAGTCGAGGCAACAAGAAGTTGAACGCTGTCCTTTAGGACAGGAGAGGACAGGAAGAGTAGTTGTTGATGAGAAAATGTTGAGACGTGAAGAGATTAGAAGCATGATGGGAAAAGTTGTGTTTTGGAACTGAAATGGACTTCACTGGAGTGAAGTGGAATCCAGTTTGAAGCTGGTGGTTTTATAAAGAGATGGAAATTGATGGGAAACGTAAGTAAGGGTGGCTGTGAAATGGTTTTTGTATGTGGACAAGATGGTTTTCTTTGGTTGTTCAGATTGAAATGAAAGAAAGATGCAACACGTTTGCCACAAATTTATGTAATAAAAAAAAACAATAAAGATCTGTGAGAAAAGAAAGATTTGTGACTGAATCTTAATGTCCTTGTATTTTATTCATGCTTCACAAAAACTCAAACATTTGGGGAAATGTGATTTACAACCATTAATTAATGCAAAGCAGAGGCGTTTTATGACGATTCAATTCTTTATGCTAGAAGACTTTAATAACCAGTGGTTATGTATCAGAAACAATACGACGGAATTTAACAATTCCTTAATTACATTTAAAATCAATACACCTTCTATTGATACAGATGCAGTCCTGGTTTTTCCTTTAGAGCCAAAACAAAGAATCACTTTTATATCCTCCAAAACAGTTTGGGTTTAAAAGGATTTAAGGCTCAGACAACTCTCCACTAAAAGATGGTTGAGATTTTTAAAAAGCCTTGTTCCAGTCCTCACTGGGAGAAAGTTAATAGTTTTTGTCTTTAAAATTTATCTGCTCAAAAGAACCCAAATGAAGCTCACGTCCCTCTTAAAGACTTCATGTCGGTTTCTCACAGAGTGTTCTCTGATGGCCATTTGCTTTGCTGGACGCTGGCGGGTTTGTAACCAGCAGCTGAGTCTCTTGTAGATATAGATGCAACCATTCATAGGTGTTCATGTGTTTTTCTTTTCTACAATGAACAAACAACATGTGGGTGAAATTTCCCAATTTCCCATGCAAAAATCAGAATGTTAGAAGTTAACTTTAAGGTGCTTCTTTGCATGACAGAGCGGCTCTTTTATGGATGTCACCGCAGTAACCAGTAATCATAGGCGTCATTTTAACCGGGGACGCCGGGGACATGTCCCCGGCAAAATTTGTGATTGGCAGCTGTGTCCCCCCCCACTTTCAAAAACGCCTGCTGATGAGGATTTTTGTTTTACCAGCTCAGATCTTATACCAGGGGTCGGCAACCTATTCCCATCAAAGAGCCATTATTACCCGTTTCCCACGGTAATTCTGGACGGAACTTAATAAGCAGTGACTTAAGTGAAGCAGGCAGGTCGCGCTAGAAAATTTAGTTTAAAAAGACATCATAAATGTGTTCCCCCGTCCTTTTTATTTATAAAATATGAAGTAAAAACTCACAATTTAATTTTCATTCATTTGTCATTAATATGTAGTCTACACCCGTGCGTTAAGTGGACCGTCTTCCAGTAAACGCAAAGCATCCAGCCCACCTCTCCAAATGCGTAAAATGTGCATCAGCCGCTAGTTAGGCGCGTCGTGCGCACCATTAGCTCCGTCAGCCCAGACAAGAGCAGAGCAAATAAAGAATAGAGGATAATTGTGTCTGGATGTGGATGGAGATTACATTTTACAGCAGCCTGATCATCATTTAAATACGTAAACCATCACCTGGCTTCTAGTCCACGCTATCAGCATTATTTTAATTGGTGTGTGTGTGTGTGTGTGTGTGTGTGTGTGTGTGTGTGTGTGTGTGTGTGTGTGTGTGTGTGCGTGCGTGCGTGCGTGTGTGTGTGTGTGTGTGTGTGTGTGTGTTTTCCACTTCAAACACTGGTCTAACCAACCAGACCAGCGTGTCCAGTAACACATTAATGTTACAATTAAACAGTTTCACTTCATGTAGGCTAGGAACGTTTCACCTGCCGCGGCCCGACCGCTTCTGCTCCACATAAACTTTGTGCGTGATCAAATGTCTCTACGCGTCATGCGTCTCCATATTAGAGACGGGAACAAGCGCTGTTCAGCCAAAGTTTCATAATTTCATAAAAAGAACATTTTTCCAAGTGACATCCCTCAGAGAGACCGGGTTTCCAGACTGTTTCAGTGGGAGGAAATCTTATCGCATGCGCCGGTTCTGTGCTGCGCTGCGAACCCCAGATCTTCAGCTCACTGTCCACCGTGGGCGCTCCGAGCCACGCTGAACACAGTGTCCAGTATAAAGCTCTGATGTTCTGATGGGAATATTTTACCTCCGCGATGTGCGTTAACGATTAAAATGTCAGCTCATCCATGCGCATCCGTGTGCGTCGGGGTAATTCTTTCAAACCAAGCAACATCCTTGAGTTCATCTGTCAAAATAAACAGTCAAATGAAACGAGGGCCCGGGTGCGATTCGATCCCCAGACTCCCGGGTGAGAGTCATACGCTCTAACCAGTCAGCCAAAGGGACAACCCCTTGGCCAAGTAGCCAGGGCGCATTATCTATCGGGACATTGTGACAGGACACTCACACTGCCAAACCTGATTATGAAACTTTGGCTGAATAGTGCTTGTTCCTGTCTCCAATGTGGCGACGCATCCAGGAACCTGTCTGAGGAGAAGCCCTGAATCTCACATCCTTCAGCTCAGGAAGTGCCGATATGATTACGCACAAGCGTGACGCGTCAACCCGGTCTCACAGTAAGACCGGGTTGGACCTGTTCAGGTTTACGCAGACAATCTTTACATTTAGAATTGGCATACAGATGTAAAATTAATGCAGTAAAATATAAAGCTTTTTATTTAAATATCCATTCATTATTTTACAAGCACAGATGGATGGAAGAGCCGCATGTGGCTCCAGAGCCGCGGATTGCCGACCGCTGTGCTAGCCTACTTTATTGTCCCCAGCAATTTTTAAACCCCACTCAAGTGTATGGTTATTGTCCCCAGCAATTCTGAAAACAAACTGACGCCCTTGCCAGTAATAAAAGTTCTCTCTTCAAAAACAAAATCACCAAAGACAAACACATCTAAAAGCTTTTTTCCTTACTGGACCAAAGTGTCTCTCTCAGCGGCTTATCTGTTCTTTTCAAAGATCCAATTATTGACAGACAGAGAGCTGAGTATCCTGTCAGAGATTTGCCACGCCTCATCATTTAAAACCTGTCTCTCTCCACTAAACACCTTTCCAAACACACCCTGAGGAGCTTCAAGGCTGAGTTTAATCTGAAAAACACTGGATATGTGTCTGATTTTATGAAAGTGGCCCAAGAGTGGGGCGACGGTGGCAGAGGAGTTAAATGTCCACCCCATAAAAGAAGGGTTGAAGGTTCAAGCCTGTCACTGTTGTAGTGTCCTTGGGAAAAACACTTAATGTCTTGCCCAAGGACTTAATGTGTTATCAAGTGGAAGTAAGATAAAGTAGTGATCTAGGATTTCACCACAGGGGTGAAGTCTACACCCATCTCAGTTTTGATTTATTTTATTTTATCATACATTTTTTTAAAAAGATGATGAGAGCAGCGTTTAAAGTTTCATCTGATTGGTCTGTGATGTGGTTTGTTACAAGCCAACAATGACAACGATGAGACAGTTTTTCCATGTAATTGTTTTTCTTTCATCCAAATCATTTACAACTGACCCCAAAACATATTGTGCCCATTTTTGTTATGCTTTAAATATTCTGCTAAAATTAGCCACTATTCCAGTTAAAACAAAACGCGTGCTAATTGGGAAGTTTTGTGAGATGGTCTTTATCCTACAGGAAATTTTCTCTTTCACAGGGAGACTCGAGCTTTTAAACTTTTCATTCCCTATAAAAGAAATCCAGCACTTGGCAGACCAGAGGTCGGTAATGAAAAGTTTTCCATGCTCTGAGTTTAACCATGCAGGAAAGGGACAGTCAAAAATCCTAAAGGTGATCCAATTCCCAAGGAAAACCCCAACCTACCAAAGTGGAGCAATAATTTACAAACAAGATGGTACCAAACAGCTTAAAGAGGTTTAACTGAAGTTCTTTTTGGTAGTAATGCCTTTTGACTACAGCAGTCCTTCTTTAATTGTAACAAAGGTTTTCAGGATGCATGAGCAAACGTATACAGGAATAAATAATTAAGTATGGCGACTGTGTTGGGGCCCAGACTCCTTCGTCCCTATTCTCCCACTCCTCAGTGCTACATAACTGTGTACTTGTTAGACACAACAGAGCAGCAGTGATAAACCGGAGGATCATTGTTACTCCGTAACTTCACGAATGGTTTATTTCCACCCACGTTCTGTCTGCTTACACTGGTCTTTCTCTGTGCACACAAGGACCAAACAATGAGAAGGTTAAAGCCACAATAAATTATCAAATGTATAGTTTTACATTAATTACACACACAGAGGCAATGACATCATAAACAGCATGTGTTGTTCAGTGAATACATTTAAGACAAGATGGATTTTATTATCAGTTGCGGTCAGAAGCTCATAAATTGTCATTGTGAGCTTGGATATAGATAGCTCAAAGAAAAGCACTTTGGTTCCATTTAGCTCATTAAAAGCAAAAACAAAGGTTGACTAAAACGCTGAACAGATAAAAAGTAAATGTACAACTATTGTAGTATGCGAGACTATGTGATGTGGAGGACTGCTAGGGTCTTACTTTGTATAATCATCTAAAGAGGCTGATTCCTCTGATTTTTATTTTGTTTTAAATAAACAATCTCTCTCCCTACATATGACATAGTCCCTCCAGCGTGTCCTGGATCTTCCTTTAGGTCTTCTCCCAGTTGGACATGCCTGGAAAACCTCACAAAAGAGGCATTCTAATTAGATGCTTGAGCCACCTCAACTGGCTCCTCTCGATGTGGAGCAGCAGGTCTACTCTGAGCCCCTCCCGGATGACCGAGCTTCTCACCCTATCTCCAAGGGAGAGCTCAGCCACCCTGCGGAGAAAAGTAATTTCAGCCACTCGTATCTGCGCTCTTGCTACCCAAAGCTCGTGACCACAGGTGAGGGTAGGAACGTAGATCGACTGGTAAACTGAGAGCTTCACCTTCAGGCTCAGCTCTCTCTTCACTACGACAGATCGGTACAATGCCCGCTTCACTGCAGACACAGCACTAATCCGCCTATTGATCTTGCATTTATTTGTATGTAAAAATAAATTAAAAAATGTATGTGGTTACTACAATCTCAATCTTTTAGAATAAAGAGGTGGAGTCTCTGAGTACCTCTGCAGGTGTTATAGCTGCTGTGGGAGTTCAGAATTAGCTTTTCAGGAGTTATTTTGTCCAAAATGACACCTACAGAGTTGATTAGGAAACACTCCTTTTCAACACTCGGGTTTGACTCTCACCATTTGGCCTGTCGGTGTTAC